TAAAGATTAAAGGAGCACAGAGCACAAATCAAGGGCTCAGAGGGCAGCATTCAGGTGGTTTGGATCTTGGAGTTTGGGAATGATCAATAGGATAACATCAGACCCATGTGTACTAACATTCTGAGGCCTACAATGGCTGTGTAAAGTGTTCTCCAAAATGTTGAGTCACAGGATACAGTGACACCTTATGCTGGGGATTTAGAGTCAGGGTACAATACGGTGGACTTCTGGGATGGACAAAAAGACTGGTTGAAACATTCCTGGGACATTCTAGGAAGAGGAGGATATTTTGAAAACTGCTGGAGAAGTGGAATTTTTACATGAACTCTTACATATAAGTAAGTCATAGTTTGAATATGTGTCAATTAAGCTGGGCTCTGTCATAGTTTGAATATGTGTCAATTAAGCTGGGCCATGATTCTCTGTGGCTTGGCAGGTCTATAATGATACAGTTTGGCAGCTATGCAATCATGTAATTATCCTTCATGGTGTGGTCTGATGTGACCTGTCTATCACTTGTCAGGGCATTAAGGTGGGATGCAATACTTTTCCTTAGCTCACAGCCCTGATATAATGTAAGGGCAGTTTCCCTGGAGTATGGCCTGTAACACCCTTCATCTTGCAAGAGAAAAAAGGAGACAGAAGGAATAGAGAAAGAAGGGACTGCATTACCACCAAGAAATAAAAAACGAGAGTGGGGCATGTCCTTTGGACCCATGGTCCCTACTCTGAGAACGTCCTAGACCCAGCGGAAGATTGAGCCAAAGTCCACCCTCTGGAGCTGACACAGAGAGAGAAGGACTTCCCCTAGAGCTGCTGCCCGAATTTCAGACTTTCTAAACTGTGAAAGACTACATTTTTGTTTGGTAAAACCATCCACTTGTAGTATTTCTTTTAAAGCAGCACTAGGAAACCCTGTACAGGGTCGCTATGGGTCGGACCCAACTCGATGGCACTTAACAACAACAACAACAACAGCCTCCTAAGACAGGATTCAATACATTTGGAGACATACCTCTTGAAGCTGTGCTCTCTCAGACATCTAACACCAACTGAACCATTTTGGAGAGTCCCATTAATCATGAGTGCCTGCCATTCATTATTGTACCCTTTTCACCAGACTTGCTTCTCTTACAGCCTGAGGACTGAATACAGGAAATAGGCTACAATACAACATACGTGAATGCCTGTTTCAGCTTATCCCCAATGGAATCCGAAATCTTCTCCTTCGTGTGTAACCGTTCCTGGAGGACTGGATGGCTAAAGATAGGCCTTTCCACACAGTACTTCTGGGTTGCTGCCAGGGTTTCGTTCTCTTCAGCATGATCCATATTACTGTGAAATTATTCATCAACAGCAGGGGACACGCATTTCCTGAGGGGCACTAAAGGAGAAAACAAAAATTCCATTTCTGTTGTTGAAATCCCTATGATTATTTTTCCTAAGCATCTCTTTTTTGTGTTACTCTATATTCTTCTGAGGACTTGTTCATCTTTGGAGACCCCGGAGCAACTAATATGGTTCCTTGTACTTGTCATAGTGCCATCGAGTCACAACCCTGCGTAGGTTTCTGAGGAGCAGCTGCTGGGTTGCTAACTCCAGCCTTGTGGTTAGCAGTCCAGTGCTTATCCTACAGCACCACACCAGGAATCTGCTCTGTACTTAGTAACACTAAATAAATGAAGTACAATAAAAATCAATGAAAAACACACATGCTATTTTTTCTCTTCCAGGGTAATAAGTATGTAATATGTCTACTTTTAACAAAAATTCATATTAAATTAATCGTTAAATATTATAGTCAGTTGGTTCTTGGTATAAATAAGGGTAATCTGGTAGACTCCAGTCAGTTTTATGACAAGAAATAGAAAAAGGGGCAAGGACGGTAGGATGAGAAAACAAAAAGTACTTAGAGTGACCCTATGGCGCTCTGGTGGTATAACAGCTAAGTGCTCAGTTGTTAACTGAAAATGTGAAGGTTGGAACCCACCAGAAGACCAGGCAACCTGCTTCCATAAGCACTGCTGTTGTTGTTATAAGGTGCTATCGAGTTGGTTCCAACTCACAGTGACCCTGTATAGGGTTTCTAAGGACCGGCTGGTAGGTTTGAACCACCAACTTTGTGCTTAGCAGTCCAGTGCCTGAAAATTCCTATGGGGCAGTTGTACTCTGTCCTATAGGATTACTATGAGTTGGAATCCACTTGACAGCATAAAACAACAACAACAACAAATTGACCCTAAGTTTCTTAAAAGGATATGGGCCCCCTTCCAATCTTTTATTCAATCTTAACATGTTCTATATGGCATAGAGCTAAGACTTACATATCTGTACAAAGGGTATCCCTGATGAAATCTATGAGAGAATGAGGGTGGTGGTTTATGTGCCAAGGAGTTGATTCCGAGAGATGGGGACCCAGTATAGGGGTTCCGAGGCTGTAATTCTTTACGGGAGTGGAAAGCCTCATCTTTCTTTCATGGAGTAACTGGTAGATTTGAACTGCTGAGTTTGTGGGTAGCAGCCCAATTTGCAATCTACTACATTATGAGGACTCCTTATGAGAGGATGTTGTTGTTATGTGCCATGGAGTCGGTTCCAACTCATAGTGACCCTGCACAGGGTTTCCGAGGCTGTAAATCTTTATGGGAGCAGAACGCCTCATCTTTCTCCCACAGAATAGCTGGTAGTTTCAAACTGCTGACCTTGCGGTTTGCAGCCCGATTCGTAACCACTACGCTACCAGAGCTCTTATGAGAGGATAGAAGTTAAAAATATTACTGCTATACCATGCAATTCTTTTAAAAATTAGGTGTATGTGTAAGCGTAATCAAATGGTTCACTTTTATTTGGCAACATAAAGAATATTTCTTATATGAGTAAGAAAAAAACATAACAAACACATTATTTTCATAAAAATGTCTTAACAAAGACATTTTTATGAAAATAATAAGTGTGTTGTTTTTTGCCAACCATGCCTTCCCACAAGGTATTTCATAAGCATGCTCTGCTAATTTTTTTACGTGTGTGTTGCTATTAATAATAGTAACACACGCATTTGCATAAAAATACATGTTTACACTCATGGAAATGTGTACAAGAGTGTTCACAGCAGCTTTATAATAATTAAAAATTCAGAAACACCCAAATGTGTTTTTATATGCAATAAAGATAAGTTGTGTTATATTCATGCATGCAATAAATGCAACCACATAACAACAAGGATGATAAGGAACCTTAGGTCTGGAGGAAGAGGATTTTGCAGCAGAATCTGACAAAACTTTTAAGACGCTATGGAACTCAGCTGCTGTATCTGAGTGGAGTTATACTCTGAACTCTGACTTTCACCAGCCTCTAACCAAACAAAACCAATACTGTTGAGTCAGTTCTGACACATAGCAACCCAACAGGAAAGAGTACAAGTGCCCCACAGAGAGTCCAAGGATGACATTTTTACAAAAGCTGAATGCCACATTTTTTCCATGGAGCTACTGGTGGGCATAGTGGTTATGAATGGGGCTGCTAATCTCACAGTCAGCATTTTGAAACTACCAGCTGTTCCGCAGGAGAAAGATGAGGCTTTCTGCTCCCATAAAGATTTACAGCCTTGGAAACCCTGTGCAGGGTCGCTATGAGTTGGAACCGACTCCATGGCATATAACCACCACAACCACTGGTGGGTTAGAACCACCAACCTTTTGGATAGCTGCCAAATACTTAACCACTGTGCCACCAGGTTTTCTTCATCCACTCCCAACAACTCTAAAACATTGATGCTACATTTGGAATTCAGACATTTCATGCTGTTCCCTGGGTGGTGCGAAACAGTTAAGTGCTCGATTACTAACCAAAAGGTTGGTGGTTCAAATCCACCCAGAGATACCTCACAAGACAGGTCTGGAGATCTGCTTTCAAAAGGTCACAGCTTTGGAAACTCTATGGAGCAGTTGTAATCTGCACACACAGGGTGACCATGAGCTAGAATCTACCACTAACAACATCATCAGGTTATTTTAAGCCTCTATGTCTTTGCACAGAATTCTATTCACACTGACTCAGATAAGATTTGCCAGTTCTTAGGGATCACATTAGAGGATCCTGGATAAAGTGGGAGAAAATGTGGGACAAAACTCAAAATCATTTAATAAAGAAAAAAAGACCAGGTTTCCTTGTCAGAAAGAGACTGAAGAAACCTGAAACTATGGCCCTCAACCACCCTTCAGGTCTGGAAGGGAACTCACCCTCGTGACCCATTTTTCGGCCAAGCAGTAGATAGGTTTATGGGGGTGAGGGTGGCAGGGACAACACCACTAGCAAGATATGCTCACCATTGAATGGTCAATCACTCAAAATCAAAAGGGAAACATTTACTAAGGACAAAGTTGCGAAGGGATAGGAAGGTGGGTAGACTGCAAATAGGAAGTACAGGGAGGAAGCAGGAAAACTGTTGTTGCGTGGAGGGGATTATAATCATTGAGATGAAACAAAGTGTATGATTTGTTGAATGCAAAGCTTATGATCTTGCTGTAAGCCTAAACTAAATTCACAGTAAAGTTAAAAAAAAAAAAAAAAAAGCCAATTCTTTTCCCTCTTCAACCCTAATCAGTGAATCCTTTAACCTTGGCTTTTTAAACTTCTGCTTCTCTGAAATTTCCCGTGTGTCCCCTCTAATCTCCTGCTGAATGGATCTGTGCTCATTACTTCACATACTGTTCCATTCTTCTCCCACTATTGCTCTCTTTTTCTAGACTGTAAATTCCTTGAGGCAATACCCTGTCTTGAACTCCCAAGATTTAGTTTAGCTCTTATTCTCTTAGTAGATGTTTAGTGATTCAAGGATGAATTATATGTTTGGAGATATATA